GCAGTCATTGCCAAAATAGGCACATGCCAGATTGAAACATTTTCGTAAGCTTCAAGAGAGAGGTCACCACGTTGGAGACGATTATTGATGCTAAGTTCCACGTCCCTAATTCTCTTTGTAGCTTCAAAGCTGTAGAAATTTCTATATTATAAAATAGCTAAAACTCCAAGAAACCAAAAAAAATCTATAATATAAATATAAGAAAGAAAACTGCAGCATGAAAAATTAGCTGATACGTTATAACGTTTGACAACTTCATTTACACAAACAATCAGTTTAAAGTAGTAGCTTATAAGCTGCTCTCATCCTTCATAGTTTTTTTCCATATTCAACAACTGAGAAGTTACCGCGGATCTAATAACTGAATCCTGAAAGTTCGTAAATGCCAATCAATACTGTAACTAAAAATTGCATGATGCTTACCCATCCATTTCCGGCATCTGAATATCCATGAAACAGGCATCGAAATGATGGGGTGGTGTTAGCAGTGAGATTGCCTCTTTCCCTCTTTCAGCAATAACCACATCAGCACCGTACTTCTTGAGGGCCCCAGCAGCCACTCTGAGATTAACCCGATTATCATCGACGACTAAAACTTTTCTACCACGCAGAAGATTGCTGAGGGATAAAGCGTGAACCTCTCCGTTCCGATAATTTCCTCTGTTTCCACCACCACCCATGGCGCGCTGAAGGGATGCAGCAAGCATACTTGCCCTCAGTGGTTTCATGATGACACATGGACTGGTAACACCTGAAGCAGAGAAATTGATTCGAGTAGAACTTATTGCTTTGGATAGAAGAAACACTTTAGGAGTAACTTTACAATTTGTTCCATTCAGTTCGCTGACAATGAGAGTCGACAAGCCTGAATCCTTATGCCAAACTTCCAGTTCAATAAATACCATGTTTATAATTGTGTTCCCAACTTTTATGTCATTCAAATCACGAATTACTTCAACGTGTACTCCAAGTCGCTGGATGTGATATTTGGTGACCTGTGCCCTTATGGGTGTAGGGTCCACAAGTAAAGCCCTCATTCCCTGAAATTCTGAAGAAATGGAGTTGGGCTGGTTGTTAATTTGCTGACTCTTCTGGTCATTCAGTCCTGAGCAGCCAGTGGTGAAAACAGCTGTAAAAGTGAAGGTGGATCCAATCTGTGGCAAGCTTACAAACCCAATTTCACCTTTCATTAGGTGGACCAAACACTTGCTTATGCTCAGCCCAATACCTGTGCCACCATGTGTTCTTGTGATCGAGGAGCCGACTTGCATGAAGGGGGTAAATACACGTGATTGAGATTCAAATGGGATTCCTTGACCCGTGTCCTCTACCGACACTATCAGATTAATTAGGTCACTTGAGGAGGATGATAATGAAGTAGCAGATCCTTCTTGACTGAAAATTCTAAATCCTTCCCAGCTTCGCCGTCTATTGGCTACAGGCAATCCACTCAATGTGCCACTTGAAGGTAATTCTGTCTCCGCTTCCATTGATTCCACCACTTCTTCGACAAGATGGACAGTCACAAATATGTGTCCTTTCTCGGTGAACTACCAGCATAAGAAATCATTAGTTGACAGTTACAACATGCATACATAGTTGCTTGTTAGCTTCAAACATATGCTAGAGCATAACCTTGTAGCCTAATACAAATTCAAGCCATTTATCAAATACCGAATTCACATACAAGCAAACCTATTAGAAGAAAACCCA